GGTGCTGAGGTGGAAAGCCATCTTACAGAGATCTGGACAGGCTGGAAGAGCGAGCTAACAAGAACAGCATGGAATTTGCAGAGACAAGTGCAAGGTCTGCACTGGGGACAGCACAACCAAAGAGCCTGGTGTAGGCTGGGATCCGTGGGGCTGGGGGCTGTCTTGCTGAAAGGGACCTGGGGGACAAGATATGAACAGGAGTCAGCACGGCACCAATGCAGCAATGAAGACAAACTGGACCCTGGGTTGCATCGCCAGGGACATCACTACTGGAGACAGAGATGTGATCATCCCACTCTACCAAGTGCTTGCCAAGCCACTCCTGGGATGCTGTGTCCAGGTCTGGTCTCCACAATTCAAGAAGAGACACAGACAGACAGACAGGAAAGGGCACAAGGCACGTGATGAAGATGATTGAGAAACTGTCTTACAAGGAGAGACTGCAGGTGTCAGGCCTTTTCCCCCTGGAGAAGAAAGAGAAGGTTTGGGGGGAGCTCGTTGCAGCATTCCAGTGTGTAAAGGGTGGCTACAAAGAGGATGTAGGAAAGAAGAAAGAAGTATTTTACACTAAGAATCAATCCCTGGAACATCCTTGCCAGAGACATGGTAGAGTCCTCAGCACTGGAGGTGTTGATGCGATTGGACAGGGTGCTAGATGATCTCACCTAGGCTTCCCTTCCCATGAGAGGCTGGACCACATCCAACCTAGGCTATTCTATGATTCTGTGACCTGCCTGGCAAGGTAGCTTCAGTCTCCTGCAAAACACCCTCTGTTTCTGAAACAGGTAATTAAAACTTCAGCTCATTTATATACTAAGATAACCTTCCCTGCCATGTTTCACATGTGTGTTTATACTAACAGGGATACACTTGAAACACGCAATAGAGTGACACTCTTCAACAACATCCAGCAAGCCAAGGACTTTGGGCTCTGCCCACAAGTACGCACTTACAGATATACTAACAGAAATAGCCAGATAAAAATTCCACTCAAATTGCTGCCAGACTCTTATTGCTTCGGCATAGACTTGAGTCACAACACACTTCAGATACCTCCTTTTACAAAGTGTAAATAACATAGGCTAAAACTTCACCACCACTTTTTGTAAATGCCTAGAACTGTACAAAAATATATGAGAAAACGCCAATATTTAAGCAACAATAAATCTATAAAAAGTGAATGCTGACCAGGGAAGGCATCTATTGTACCATTAAGGTTACTTTTACAAGTTACCTATATTTAAATGTCATTTATTGGCTCACCACAATCTTAGAATGAAGAAGTAGGCTTTACCATGTCTTATAGGCAGGCAAATGCTTTAATACAGATTCATCAGTATTTTTCCCTCTCTTGCAATGTCTTACACCAAAAACTCCAATGACGCTTGAAAATCAGCTAATTATAACTACTTTCTTCTGTTGTCTCACCTATTTTTTCCTCATTATTGTCAAAACACCACTTTTCTTGCCTTTTTCTAGCTCCAGTCTTTCAACGTACTTATGTTCATTCTTGGCTTTAAGCATATCAATTCATCTCATTCTCTCACATATGAACGGCCTTCACTTAGGTTTCCACACAAATTAATGGCTCTTTCAGGATCTTGCCCAATAATTCTAATGCATGTTGAAAGCTGACAGACAAATTCCCATGAACAGTTTATGTTTAAAAGCTACTGACTTTACTACTTCCAGCACCGAAATGGATGATTCCAGCAGTGTATTTTATTAGCTGCCTATTTACAATTCAGTAAGTTGTAGTTATATTAAAAATAGTTCTAAAAATTACATTTATGAAAAAGAAGCCATTAAAAATGAAAAACTGGATGGATTGTTTCCTGGAGCTAATATAAGTAATGGACCCATTGCCACTTCCCTGCTGTAGTCATAAACATCTCATTTTCACTCAAGTCAGCAGTATAATTTCACAGTCACAATGATGTAACAAAAAAATTCTGCATGCTCTGGTGAGTATGAATAAAGACACAGTTTCTCTGAAACCTTCTGAAACAAATTAAACACATTTATTCTTTGCTGAGAATGTTGCCTACTGATCAATCTCAAGTCTAGATACTGCTTAATGAACAATCATCTTCCAAACTGGGCTGAACATTTAACCTCTTGACCATCAGACCTCTGAGACTAGGAGAAACCTTCTACACAGATTCAGTACCAACGAAATAATCAACCTTTTCCTTAGGCAAAACCATTTGAGAAGTCCTCTGTACCTTTTTTTTTCCCCCCAATTTGTGCTCTAGAAACCTTCAGCAAGGTTTTAAAATGTTTTTCAAATTACTGTGCTAACACAGTAAAGTAATCACAGCATGCAATCACCGTTCTGATTGAAGACCAAAAAAATCTTTGGCCCAGACACATTTCAACAAATTACACGTTTAACCAAGGTTTCCACTTTTCTCCATTGACTAAACAGGGTACCTGCAGCAGCAAAACTCCTAATTGAGATATATCACTTTGGTGCATAAAATTAGGTGGGATGAATATAGCTCAAAAAAATTACATAGCACTGGTTGATGATGGAAAAATTCTAAGGCAGTAAATCACAGCCTGATTTCAAGCAGCCTTCTTTAACAGGTCCCAAATGGTTCCTACAGTCTTAACAGCTTTTTTCTTCCAATAAAAACCAAAACAGCAAACAATGACCTGTAGGTTCAACAGTGCTCTGGGATGCAAGGAGCAGGAATTTTCCCCCTGGTTCTCCATCCAGAAAATAAGGAACACACACATATATAGAATTCCACATACACAATACTTAATTGTTTCAAATCCATTCAGTCTACGCTATTTAATATACCAGTAGTTCATTCAACACTCTGCTGTTCTAGCTAGGATGGCCTTGCTACCAGAGCAGAATTGTTTTGAAGGCACTTGGGTATTTCCAAACCACACCACAATCTGACAACAGAGCTATCAGCCTCAGCATTGGCCATCTAACAGCACAAAGGAATTCTTTATAATTCAGGGGAGGTTGAAAGGCCAAATAAATGCATTTCAATAATTTAATGTTTCACTAATTATTTTCCAGAAAATTTCAAATGTTACATTTAAAATTTGTAACTGTTAAGTGAAAACAGCAAGAAATTAAGTACATTAAAATTGCATGTTTCAGGGGAAAAGAGTACCAATAAAAAAAGTTTAGGGATTAATGTAGATATGCACATGACATCAGGGAGAATTACTTCAGAAAAGAACATTTTGTAGAAATGGTCTTTGCAAGGAATATGCTTGTTGTACTAAACAAGTTGTTTATTAGAAGTTGTTTAATAGCCAAATAAAACTCTTTAGGTAATACAAAAGAACAGGGGAGCCTCTTAAAAATGTATTCTAAACCATAATACAAATAGATGTACTGAATATTACATTTCTATGCACAGAGATCTAGGAACATAATACTGTGAAGTAGTCAAGACTTCTGCACTTGGATTTTCTTTTATTTTCTTAAATTATGTTGTTAAAAGGATTTTAAACTTCTTTTTAAACTAAGTATTTCAAAAGGGGAAATTCATATCAGTATAGTCAGGGAGGCACTTTTTTTTTTTTTACTGGAGCATTAACTACAGAGGCCAGATCTGTAGTAATATCAATAAGATGCAGGAAAATAGGCAGCTTAGATTTCTTGCATGAAACCCAGGGATGATACAATGCTGCAGTTCAATGGTCAAAAGCAAGAGTGCACATGTACAAATACTGCCTTAGAAATCAAACTCCAAGCAAAACAAAATGCGAAAAAAGGAAAAATACAGATATAATTTACCTAAGCATCAATGCAGTGGCAACTACAATACTAACACAGGAAGGCAGTACAGTAAGGTCTTGAAAAGAGGTGGTGCACCAAAGACTGACTTACTTTCACAGCTCCAGTTACTCCTGAAGAATAACTGAGGTTATTTCTATTGTCTGCCCAGACAGCACTGTGTGAAACACTTTGATGTATGCTCTATTTAGAGGAGTGCCACTGCTGCATGCAGGCAAATTGGGGTTTGTTTGAAGAACAGTCAAGAGGAAATGTATTTCAAAATTAAAACCGTGAAAAAGAGCTTTAGTTGCATCTTTCTGCCTTTATTTTAAAAATATGGAACTCAAAAAATTGAGCCTGAGGATGTGCACTTCCTAAGAAAATACATATCATTATATATATATTATTTCTTCTATCACTGCTAGAAAAAACAAACAAAAAACCAAAAAAAACCCCAAAAAATCTTTTAACCTCTTTTTTTCTATCCCCAAACCTTGACAAAATTGGGAATTCCTAAAGTCCAAATGAAGAGCTGGACAGATGGAAACAAATGGAAAAGGGAGGACAAGCAGAAGTAGAAAAAGATCTACCTCAACAGAAATAGTGGTATTTCAATCTGCCTGTACCAGAGTAATAATGTTATATATCACACCATGTATGCAATATATCACATACGTATATGTTATGCATACCCTAAAAAGAGCAAATAGCTCAGTTCTGCCTTAGTTACACTTTTCTACCCTGAACTTTATTCCTCTGTTATTGTCATTAAGTGCTCAGAACAAAACTAAAGTTAAAAACTCTAATGCAGTTTCAGAAGAGGATATAAACTAGTATTCTTACTGACTCTGGCCAACAATACTGTGGGAGTTTAATTATTGTTAACTGGAACCCTCCCTCATTTTACTAAGTGAAATAAAATGGAAAAGTATGCGTTTCCTAGAAAGCCAAGACGTAGCTAAGACAAACATTTGGAACTTTTCAACCCAAAACCTGAAGTCTCTCTTAAGAAATGCTATATGGACAAATAAAAGGGAGACCATGGATGTACATAATTCATTGCTTTAAAATTTATCTGTAAATAGTTGTCAGGGCACTGAAGAAAACTGCTAGGAAAACAAAAGCATCTGCTGTTCAAAAGGAAGTATACGCAGAAGTGTTGCTGTCACTTGACTGTTAATTCAATAAAGTTTTTTAACCAAGCATAAACCCAATACCATTCGTCAAATCTGACTGCGAAGTGATGTTATTACCTCAGAGCGTATATGCTGGAGAGACTACATGTAGTGACAGAAACACTCTCATAGTCACTGCTGGAGATGGAGCTGAGGGGGGAATCACGTAAGCCATCCTGAGAACTGAAAAAACATACGGAAACAAAATGAACTGCTGAAGCAAACAAAGGTAAAAAAACAGAGCAGTGTGATAACTCATGGCTTGTCACTGATTATACAGAAATAAGAATAAACTGGCAATTATATTTCTGCTCTTCAGAAAATGACACAAACCTATTCTGCTTTTTTTCCCCAAAAGGACAGACAATTTTGCCAAGTCAGGGGGCACACATTTTATAAAAGTCTTCAATTTAATTCATGTCATACAGTTAGAACATACAGAGGAGAACAGCGGATCTTACACTTGCACAGGGTAGAGAGGGAATAGCATGCCCATGCTGCTAAGGGTGGTTTAGTGTTATAACAATACTGAAGTTCAGAAAGTCACTGTGTGTCAGAAAGCCTAAACGGTAAGTTTCAAGAACTTGTGAAATACCATGACAAGTTTGATCTAAGGTCCCTTCCAAAAAGAAGGAAAAATTCTGTGAGAAAGCAGAAAGCTGACTCTTTAGTGAAGGAGATGAAGATAACACACCTACCCCTAAATTTGCTCAGTCCCTATAACTGCCATATGCATACCTCAAATTTTGTACTTTACACAAGAGGTGAGCAGGAAGGAACAGTGCCATGGCAAACCACTGACAATTCATTAGAGATAATCCACAAGCTACCAAGTAAAAGGATGTGAATAATTTAAACGAACAGTACACAACTTGTCTCTTTTTTTTTAGCCATTAAATAACATCATTTTAGATCTTGCATCATATTTTCAACTAGGATTACAAGATATAAAAGTTTCATGAGCACGACGAGCACTACAAAACTATCTTGGAAAGACCAATTTTTTGTTTCAGTAACAATTTAGTGCTCAGCTACTAGAAATTCCACAAGCTGAAAACAATTAAATTATAGTAGATAAGAAAATACGTGATCTTGAGCAGAGGTATTAAAGCTGTATTGGTTGTAGGCAGTGCAGAAGAATCATTTGAGCCTACTGAACTCAAATGTTCAGTCAACAGTCATCTTTGGACAATGCAGAGAGAAATTGAAGAAATATATTTAGCTAAAGAGATGTAATTATATAGGTCAGGATTATTTTACCTTAGTTCTTCACAATTACTGACTTTTTTTTTTATGCTCTTTTGATTTGTAGGCATATGTGAGGTACATATTCAAGCCAGCTAGGTTTCAAATTCTATTCTTCTACCAAATTTATTGTTGTAGCTATTTTTGCAGCTAGATGTCTGGAAGAATGCTTAAGGGGAATTCTTCAAAGCAGTGTACAGAAGGTATGTGCTCTAATCCCACTAAGAAATAATAGGATTTGTTTGCATACCTCCCACTAATCGCTTGGAAAATGTACCCCTTCGTGTTCCTCATTTCTGATTGCCAATTTGAAAATAAATCCCAAGTACACTATGCTTTAGTTGAAAGGAGAGACGTCATAACTGGAAAATAATTTTATCAGACTTGAACAAAAATCTATTTAACTTTCATTCGTTTTATATAATTTCCCTTGCTAATTCTGCTCATTATGAAGAGATAAATGCATTTAAACAAAGGCTTACTCTTTTATAGCCCATCACCTTTACCCATCCAATCTTACAATATGGTCATGCTACTAAAATGTACTTTTACTATCTGTTTTATGGCAGCTAAAAGATATTAAAAAACCATTAGCATGTGATTTTACAGCATGCTTGAGCAGGAGAAGCTGTCTTGCAAAGATGAAATGTATTGTTCAGAATAAAGCAATCTTTGAATGGCAGAACCAGGAACTACTAGCAAATTCTGCACTTTTACTCTCTCCCACCTCCCCATCATTTTCAGATTTTTCCAGTGTAACAAATCCTGCCAGCTGATTTGGGTAGTTTTCTGAAAGATGTCAGCATTGCCATCCTTCAGTGCTTTCTGTGAAGTTCTGCCCGATGTATTTGAAAACCAATCAAAACATGTCTCAAGAGTAGATAATATTTATTGTCAACACTGTCCCAAGACACAAAACCATTTTCTATCCTAAGGTAACTTTGTGGAGTGGCCAGTCCAAGCCAGAAGGCAAAACAGAGAAGGCATAAAGTGCTAGACCTTGACAGCAAGTAACTGGATGAGTAACCTCAGAACATAATGGCACACGACCGGCTTCCCACCTTATCAAAGACCTCAATGCTATCATTAGTTTCATCTTCATCCATGTTTCTCTGATCAGCTTACAAGCCTCAGCTCACACCTCCTGCCCATACTTCTCCTGCTCCCCCATTTGAATTCTCTCTCATCTCTAACCAGTCCCTATCAGCATAACTTTTTCTCATCAGCTCCACTATCTCTCATCTCTTTTTAAGCCTTAACACCATTTGCCATTCTAAACGGTTTCATAAATGCCTTCGTTTTCCAGTACTCCATCTTTTACTTCGTGCACAAACCTGGCCATGCTGAGCCATCTGCCGATTTCACGATTAGATATCCATCTGATCAGTCATTATTTGGCTATGTGAATTGCTTGGACAGGCCTGACACAAACCATGCTCACAGAGGTTAGTTTGTTGTAGTAAAGGATGTGCAGTTTTGACAATTACTATGTGTAAACAGTTCTCACTCCCAGCTATCAATACAGATTGAATTTATGTACCAGAAATAATATTTATTATTTACAATGTTTATTTCTGGCTCATATTCAGGCTGTAGAACTTCAGATAAGAAATTCTGTGTTTATTTAGTATAAAGAAATAAGAATCCAATAATGAAGTTAGTTTTATACCTTCTCAGTGTTATAACAAGTAGCTTTTTTTCCCCCCTCTAAACAAAACCAACAAAAATAAACCCCACTCCTGACATTATGCATTTTTTCTCAGTACACACAGACTCAGGATACCACTTTGTAGAATTTTCCTTCTCATTAGAGTCTGCATGAAGATTTGCTCAGCTTTTCTAAGACACTGGTAAATCCTGAGGCGAATTGACCTGCATTTCCCAACTCAGGATTCCTGTTACCAGCTGCTGGTAGCTCAGCAAACGCATTCATTAGCACAACTATATGAAGAGGTAGTTGATAGCAACTAACCATTTCTTCCCACAGCAGCCCACAGGTGACATGAACCTCACCGCATCTCATGCTCATTGGAAATCACATCTGTGTTGGATTGGGATACACAGGACTGTTTAAACTGTCCAAAGTGGCAAAAGTTCGTTTCATTTGTGAGATCTTAAATGCCTACAGTGCCGTTTCAAAAATTAAGTTGTAGCAGGGGATGAAAAACACCATCTATGCTCAAAACTGAATTCTTCAGCACTTCTGATAAAAATATAAAGATCTGAGGTGACAGAGCAAAGTGACATGGGGTGATGTGGCTGCATCTTTTCATGGAACACTGGCAGACACCCATCCATTTAAAGCTGTTGGCTACTTTTTGTAACTATTCTAAGTATAAAACAAACTGAAAACTACCTTTATGCTGGTTTCTGTGCTCATTCCTACAGGAATGTGTTTCTTGCCTTTAACTTTGAATTAAACTTCTTGGTTGTTTCAAGGGAGAGTTTCTTCGTGAATATTATTACTTGAGTCACAATTACATTCCATGTTACATTAGTTAATTTGCACAGATCTCTTCTTTGTCTCTCATACTACATGAGAGACAACTCCAAAGCCTCACGTCAGCTATACCAAATCCACTCAAAATAACACTTTTAAAACTCTGGTTTACCTGCTATACTCATTTCAGGAATCTATGCTGAGAGTCAAAACAGTTTACTGTTGCCGCATTCAATACGTGGACATAGTAAAAAGGAAGGTGGTACAAACCACTGACGCCTTTCATTTGTACGTTAAGGCTTTGTAAGAGCAGTCATGTTTCTGGTTACCTCACAAAATCAGTGTTCAACAGACAAGGGCAAACACTCCCAATTCTGAGACTTGCACTGATTTAAAAAAAAAAAAGGGAAGAGGCATTAAAAATAAAACACCTTAATTTGTACTGAACCTGAATTTGGTCAGTTGCAGAGGTATTTCCATCAACAGCCAGATAAAGGATTACTTAAAGAAAGTTCTGCAGTTGAAAGGCTGATATTTTATTTCTAATTAACTGCTGTTTCCTTCTTGCCAAAAAGCTTTCTTACTCCTGAGTAACTAGTTACAAGACTAATCGATACAGGACACCCAGCTGCCACGCTGTTGTTCACATGAACATGTACAGCTGGCCATCAACTTCTATAGAAAAGGAAACTTTGTCATGTAAAGACACCCACAATTTTAAGTCTTACTGTGACGTGACTATTACAGGGAAAGCAGGAGTTTAAGACATTTTTTCAAGTTAATTTGCACTGCAATATCAATGAATCTAGTTTCGATAAAGGAGCACTTGCAGTATCCAATGCTATAAACTAAAAGACAAGCTAGAGAAGTAATTTGTGTGGGTTTGGTTTTTTAAATGTAAATGCTACCCTTCCCCAAAATACAAATGCTTCTTCTCCATGCATTTATAAAGGTGGAAAGACTTATCTTAAAGTTGGTGTACTGAAAATATGCACACGTCAGATGTTGCTAAGGAGTGAATAAAATAAAACAGAGGCAGAAAAATCAAATTTAGAAACCAACTGTGTAATATAAAACAGGTGTTCATCTCTTCAAAGTCATTCTAATATAAGGAAGATATAAGATTTAAAATGTTACAATATAGACTCTTGTAATATGTAAACATAAAATATACAATTTTAGACTACAGAGTTGCAACACTAAGAATTGGGACAACTTGAATACCAAGCTGCAGAAGAATAAATTATTCATCTGACTCTAGAACTGCAACACAGATTAGCAAACAGCAAAACATGCTTTTCCAAGGATGCCTCATTCCTCCTCCTTACACAGCAAAAGCATATGGCAAAATATTCTATTTTTTAAGCCCCCACAAATAAACGTGAGCAGTGCCAGCATCTAACAGCCGATGGACACAGCTAGAGCTTGCAGAAATTGTGAAAGCAAAAAGTTCTCCTTGCTACCAATTTCCGCTCCTTTTGCCAATTCTCAGGTGCACTGTAAAAGGCTTCATCAAGCGTACACTCACCAAACAGAACAAGGAAAATGGCAAAAAAAGTATAATTTAAGCTAGACATAATTAACCTGCAGCCAAAAGGAGAGAAATAACAGTTAAGAATGCTTTTTTACATCAGAATTGGTTTAAGGTCAGTACGTAGATAAACAATACACAACAGACCCAGATATTTCAGACTAAAACATGAAAACACTAGCACTGTATGGCAATACAAAACATACTGCCAAACCGTTTTACAAGGGCTCTTCAACTCTAGAAAGAAGAGAAAGTCAAGCATTTCCCAAACACCAAGTTAAACATGATATTTTAGTAATTTTCTTTCACCTTGGAATAAACAGGCAGAATGCTATGAGAGAACGAGTATTTTAAAAATCTCTATAGCTTGCTTCCAGTTGAAAAGGAGGAACATAAGATACAGGTCTAGAGCTTGGTTTTTGTGTTAATTTATGTCCTTTTTTACCTCAAATCACCAAATGCTTCTTTGTCATAGTTTTATCCTCTTCTGTACTATTCTTAGATTATTTCCCCCATTTATCAGTTTGTTTTGCTGTGACAGCCTTTAGTTATCACATCGGCCCTTCAGCAGATCAGATACTGACTGTATCTTTGCTACAGCCTTTCTTGTATTTGCTGCCCAAGACCCTCAGTGTCCATGGTGTTTTGTCTTTGAGATACTTAGAAGCAAATAATGGAAAAAAGACAATATCAGCTACGACTTAAAACCCAGTGCAGTAAAGAGATGTCAATACCCAAATCTTAAGTAGAAATTAATCTGTATTTTAAATTCCACTTAATATTGAGGCTAGATGGGGAAGCCTGAAATACCAAGTATATCAGATTTAAGGATTAATTACAGTAAACCTGACTGGATCATTGAAATTATACCTATAATGTCATGTTGCACAGTATAAGAACTGATTGACTAAAAGAAACACTTTGTGTTATAATGTACACATTCGACAGCTGCTCGGTTCAGACAGGGGAAATAAAATTTTCTAGTTGGTGACTGACAGTAACTAGAAGGTAAATACGCTTTTCAATTTGATGAATGAACACGTCCTGCAGCTATTCCACAAATATTAGACCGCATATTGTTCTAGCTAATGGGTCCATCATTCTGACAATAATCTACTGTCTCCAACGTTTCCCCTATGGCTGGCATTCACAAGCATGCAATAGCAAGCAGTCACAGAAGCCTAACATGATCTTCCAATTTAAAAATACCATTGAAAAGCAGTGATTAGTCACCACCCAGGCAGCATGAGTAAGAAAAGGTCCAGAAAGTTCTGTTTTGTAACTGAATTCTCTCTTTTACCGTTAACATGACTAGTGATTCAGAGGCAAGAACCAAATCTATATATAGATGGATGAGAAAACTAAGACTTTACACATACATTTTTAATCTAGTTCTCAGTAGATTCCCAGCATCTCAATCTCTCACAGAATATACTTAAAGAGTTTAAAATTACAATTTTACCAAATAAAGGAGCAACAATCTAGTAACAAAATACCTTCATCCCTGTTTCTCCAATTCTGCAAAGATAGAATATTTGCCAAGTAATAAGAGATGTACCATAGTCTCAGTAACAAATAGAAAGAATTAGATGTAATCAGCAAAGTAACTGTGGAAAAGGCAACGGTGAACACAAAGAAAATCCACTAACATGTTAACTAAGTACTCAAAAATATTCACCCAGGAGTTTTAGATCTCAAGAATGAATCAGATGAATTATTAACCTCACATTTAAAACTTCCTTGCATTTAACAGTGGCAATCTCTAAAAATAAAAAGGACTCCAAGGGGATTCAAACAACTAGTTCTGTGGGCCTGATGTTCATAACAAGCAACTTAACAGAATATACCAAAAGCTAAAATAGGTAGACACTAATGAGAAGGCCTATCCGTGAAGCGGTAACATGGCTTCTGCAGAGGGAACCTCTTGGGAGCTCTCTGAAGGGGTCAAGAAGCTTGTGAAGAATGGTGAGACTACTGCCTCTAGATTTTCAAATAGGTTCTGTCAATATACCTCACTAAGGGCTTTTAAGAAAACTGAGGAGCTATAGCATAAGAGGAAGGGACCCAAAATGGATAAATAATTCTTAACCATAAACAGGGAGGGGCTGTTAAACAAGCACTTCTGAGAAGAGCAGAATAAGTTCTTCAGGACCTCGCAAGGTTTTGCTTTCACATAAAGTCTGCAAAAATGGGGAGAGCAGTGATGTCTGAAAGGTTGCTACTGGTGCAGATTTTTTCAGGGTAATAACAAGTACAGACTGAAGAACTGCACAGGATCTTAGAAATCTGAGTAACAGGTAAAAAGATGATATTCAACTAGCAAATTCAGGGAGAACAATTTTAGCATCAGACAAAGAATGACAGCCTGTGAGATCACAAGCAGGATCTTGGGGCTTTGGCAAACATCTGGAAAAACACATCAACTCACCACTTAGCAAAAAAAATCCAGAGTAAAATATTGGGAGCCATTGAAAAAAAAACAACAGAAAATAACTATGCCACTATGCAAATCCATGGTTTGCTCATATCTTAAGTGCAGTTCTGATTCACTTATTGCTAAGAGGAAATAGTATAATTAGAAAAATTTTAGAGCAAGACAAAAACAATGATCAAAGCTATGGACAACTTCCAATCAAGCAGGCTGTTGCTCTTCCAACCTGAAGAAGAAACCATGTAGGTGGAGTGAAGACATCTACAAAATCACAACTGTGGAGGCCAGGCAGGAACTAGGAACCATTCAGTGAAGCTGTTTTGAGCCATGTCCAGAGCAAACAAAAGGACACAGAGGAACAGGGACCTACAGAACCCTCTGTAAAAGGACAAGTCTTATACAAAGTTTTTACACAGTATTAACAATGGACAAGTATGCAGAGAAGAGGTTATTACATCCATAAAACATGAGAGGCTGAAAAAACGTTATATATATAATCTTATTATATTTTGAAGACTCATTCTCACGAATTTCACTTAACCTACCCATGGCAAGAATCAGTAGACAAATTGTCTGAGTTCTGTAAACAATGTACGATTTATCAGGACACTAGTTAAATATACAGTAATCACTTTCAAGCAATATTCCACTTGAAGTGTTGCAAAAGCAGGAAATGTTAAAGGGATTATGTGAATTAGTTAAAATTAAGTCCATTCAGAAACCCTATTGTAATGCCTTGAATATGATCATATGTTCAAGACTAAGATTGCAAATACTCAGAACAATGAGGAAGATAAAATAACTTTCTCAAAAGTAGAGTTTTGTGCACACTAGTTGTGCTTTACCATAATGTGAGAGAAATTAATTCCAACACAAAGAAATCTTGATTCTATTTCCACTACCAGTAAAATATGTCATAGTTCAATTGGTATGTTATTAAATAAACGTTGATTTCTGTAGCCTTTATATTGGTGCAATGCTTTCATCGCTCAAGCTACCCCGCTGTGTTATTCTGCGCCCTATACACATGTAACAAAGATCCTGCGCACAATTTGCACAGTACTGATGCAGTAAGGCACAAAGGAAGAAAGCTGTCTACAGAAACACAGAAAACAGTAACTTTATTTAATTTATTCCATCTTTATGATATTAATAGTTCAAGGAAACCAATGACATTACTGACCACAAAACAAGTTATCCTCTAAAAGTAAACCAAAATGAAGCCTGATTTCCTACTGATGTGTGGAGGATCCCTAATTGCTAATCAAAATTGAGCTGAAGCACAGCATTTTCTTTAACATAACTATTATGGTCTCTACCTGTTATCTAGTTCCTTATTTTCATTAAATATGTAGAACCTTAATCCGTGACCTCTATTGTTCTATCAGCTGTGGTTGAAACGGTCCAATAGGTTTAAAAGCTGCTTCTGCATTATAGGAGGCTCCTTCAGCACACAGACATTCCCAAATACACTCATGGCCACAGGAAACACGATCAGATCAACCCCATTCTCTCAAATGAAGCTAAGGTAAGATGGGTTGGGATCCCAATTTAATCCTGTGCACTGATGCAGAAGTTAGACTTTTTAGTATCTGTCAGATACACTTCTGCAAAACAGCAGAGTACAGAGGTAATGACCCAGGTAATGTTCAGCAGCAATGCACTGTTACATTAAACTGGTAAGACTAGCGTACTTGATTTCAATAATACAGAAACATTATACAATTAAAATGCAGGTGTTCTTGAAATGTTTTCCAAAAAAGCTGATCAAGTCCAATAAAAAGTTACCTGCATTAAAAAAAAACATATATTGAGAAATTCCTTAATCCTGCAACACACTATTTTCTTCAAAATCAACATTAATTATACACCAATCACTAAAGTGCACATTGCTCTTACCTTGAACTAGATCTTGACTTCACATCTTCCTTTGCTGTCCTTTCACTACGAGCATCTTCACTGTTGTCCAGCTTTTTCTCACATTGTTGTTTTCTCTTCTCCCACTTCTTCTGCTGGTTTGAGATGCTTTCTGCTTCTCCTTGAGACTCATTTTCTGCTCCTACCTGTGAACCTGAGGAATGTGCCAGGCACTTAGAGGAGATTGGCAGTTTTGGCTCTTCTCTGCTAAAGTCTCTTTCTGCTAACAAAGTGGAAGTTTCAGGTTTTAATGTTTCCTGTGCAGGGACTGAATTGTCCAAGTTATCTACATGGTCCATTTCCTTAGACTTTATTAATGTGTACGAAGCATTTACAACACCTCCTGCAGAATGTTTAGTCTTTAAACCTTCAACGCTGTCCTCCCTGCTGTCTTCACAGCTGCCACAACACACACAGGAATTAATTAGACAGTTTGTGGCAGCTATGCTGAGTTTATGGGATTCATCCTCCTCCTCATTTGCTAATGGATTAGCAGATCCAGGAACACAACTAATAGCTGCTTCTGGAGTGGTTACTGGGGATTCTGAGCTAGAGGGAGATTTAGGATTGAATATTACAGTAGCAGATATTTTCATTCCTCCTGTCCTGTGAGCTATCACTTCTGCCATTTCTGCATCATCAGCATAGGCATCCCAGCCATTGAGGTATAACTGTGAGTCTGGACCTTCTAGACAGCTGCATGAATTCTGGACTGAAATGCCAGACATCTGTTTGCTATCTTCAATATTGTTATTATTGCTTAAGTCACTTTCAGCATCTTTTAAAAGCAAAGTTTCCTCAGTCTGATGGCCATTCTCATACAGCAAAGCATCTCTATATTGCAGGTTCTGTTCTGAATCGTGGCAAGGGTTATTCACCCAAGCAAGAGTATCACTTACTGAATCCAACCCAGCAAGAGCTTCTCCTGCTCCATCTAGGTCATCCATAAAAAACACTCTGTCCTCTTCATCAGTTAAATTGTCAAGATGGTGTCTTGTTGGTGAAGCTTCTGTGCTAGAACTATTTCTTAGGCTAGGTCTGTGAGCTGGAGACTGACAGATGCTTGGAGGGGAAAGCAGCGAAGACATTTCATCTCCGACTCTGTGTACCATTCTGTTCAGCTGTTCCAGCTCCTGTTCATCATACTGCATAGAACAAGCCAGCTCAGCCTCTGTGTTTTCAGCTTTTGCTGAAAGCTCCTTAGCAGGCAAAGTTGCAGTTATGCCTGGTGTAATGACAGAAGGTACTTCAGGATCCGGTCTGACAGGAAAATCAACATCTTGAGAGATGCAGAGGTTACGTTCCAGTGTGTGCAGTTCATCCTCAGTTAATGTCTGAAGTAGATCCCTGAAAATTAAAAATATACATATCATCACTTGGCATTTACAATCATAGGAAGCACTGATGTTAGATTTCAGAAAAAGCTTTTACTGGTAGTACAGAAATCCAGAACCTGGGGACACAGGGTACTTTCAGCTGCGTAACTCAAAGTGCATTTGGCATTCGTATTCAGAACATGTGATTGCTGATGCTTGAATTTGAGATTACTCATGCAAATACAGGGTACCAAATTACTTACATCCTTGCAATGAACCTCCAAAATAAATCAGAACACAGGCAAAAAAGGATCTTCCCCTCCCCAGCTAGCTATAGTGAAAGTGTTACCCACAATAAGATATGTTTTGTCATTTAATTTTTTTTAATTCACAAATTTTACTTGGATTAGCAAACCGATTACCCATCCTTCTTACTAGATTATGAAAATTCTTCTGCAAAAGAGTATTGCACAAGTTTCACACCATGACACTGTCAGATAATTAATTAAAAATAGTAATATCACTTATGCAACACTAAAGTCTTGGAAGCCTTTTCACTGAAACAGGGATGGGAATTTGGCATTCTGCAGCCTCAAACATGTAATAGTCATCGTGGAGTTAAGTTTCTGCATGATGTTAACAATCAGGCAGGCATAAAAGCAAACATTTAGATATTTACTAAACTATGTTTTGTAGCGATATGCAGCATCTTCAGTGTTCGATGAAATGACAGAACTGCTATCAACATTTTCAAAGACCAACAAGTGTTTGATTTACCTCTTCTTTTAAATCATGGTTTTATACAAGAGTTTAAAGACCCCACAAAAAGTTTTAAGCCTATGGAAGAACATTGCACCATTGTAATCTCCTCTTTTCACTTGTTTCCACATTCTCTAATACAGAAGTTGTCATTTCTTCAAATGATTCCATAAAAATCACTAAATCTGTGAATCTGAAGTTTGAAAATTCTTCCAGACATAAATGAGACAGAAAGGGAAATGGGCACTGTTTAACTAAAAGACTGGGCAATTTTTATTTAACCCACTTAGAGAACTATAAACCAATTGTGTTATCTGGCACACTGGATCATTTTAAAATACCTACACATTCATTTCTTTTGTCTAAACAGTACATAATTATACCACCTCATTACTCAGACCTTTTATTTGAACAGCTAACAGTGTCTGTAAAAGATTAAGCACTTCAACATCACCCTAAAAACAAACTGACCAACAACAGTTTAAGTTTTAAAGTCAACACAAATGTAGCTATATTAATATTGTTTTAAAAAGAACTATATAAATATAAACTATAAAAACATAGAATAACATGGGTTTTGCCACAAGGTTTTGTATTATGGATTTTCAGTTTTTCAGTTTTTACAGGAATGCTGTGATGTAGGATTTTATAAGCAGAAACAAAGTAATATGGGGGTTTAGAAGCAGTTGGGTTTTTGATTTTTAAAAAAAGAGAGTAAGCACACAAATGGAACAGTGAAGGGTTTAAGCTTATTGCTCATCTATGCAAAGTTATTAAAATCAGAAGATATTATGGACCCAGCCTGGCCCAGAAAAGTAGTGAAGCTCATGCCTGATAACAGATTCTCAGTAATAGCATAAACATAGAATGGTTTGGGTTGGAAGGGACCTTAAAGATCATCTAGTTCCAACCCCCCTGCCATGGGCAGGGACACCTTCCACTAGACCAGGTTGCTCAAAGCCTCATCCAGCCTGGCCTTGAACACTTCCAGGGATGGGGCATCCACAGTTTCTCTGGGCAACCCGTTCCAGGGCCTCACCACCCTCTCTGGGAAGAACTTCTTCCTGATATCCAATCTAAATCTCCCTGTTTTCAATTTAAACCTGTTATCCCTTGGCCTGTCACTACAGGCCCTTGTAAAAAGTTGTGACTCGTCCCGCATCCTCCCCCAAACATTCTTGTAGGTCTCCTTCAGGTACTGGAAGGCTGCAATAAGGTCTCCCCGGAGCCTTCTCTTCTCCAGGCTGAACAAGCCCAACTGTCTTGGCCTTGAAAAGGCTAAGAACAGGACATAGTGATCTCTGCTGAGTGCATCCTACTGGCTTCCAGCAGCCTGCAGCTCAGGGATTTCCAAACCAAGGTGGCATCTTTGTGTTCAATAATCCTCAGTGAACTTTTCTTGCATGGATGAAAATGTGCATGCCAGGAATTGATCAACGGACAACTGCTTAAACATCAGCTATGCTTCTCCGTACACCACAAAGCACACCTCAAAGCATATGCGATGAGAGTTAGCAACTTGTTCAAAACGAGCCTACACCAGCAACATTCAAAGGAATCTGCTTTCCATCCAAGCTCATGAACATAACTGGGCATGAAATGGGCGCAGGGAAAAACTAAGATTGAATCTTTGACTTTCAACATCTTGTCAGTGGTTTTATTCAGTGTCCAGAACATTGCATGGCAGTGCCTGGGATTCCTGGATGTTTGGTCACCCAGAGCTGCTCTGCTTCCTCTCTGAAGGCACAGAGAGCCTGACTACTCAGTCCTACCCGATAAAGGTTTCATGTAGGCACAGTAAAGTAAGTGCTAGAAATAGGTATTTTCTTTATGCTGTCTAGCTTCATTGGCTTGAGTCATGAACTCTGTTTCTGCCAATAAGAACACCTCAAAATTTAAGAACAATTGTGCACAGTTTTGAAGTAAATAAAGCTTTATTTAAAAAAAAAAATCAATTAAAATAGCTGACTGTCCTTGTGTCTTTTGAGGTGAGTCCCATCCATGCTGCCTTGCAAGAAGTGCTATACATTATCAGCTGGGTTACGCGTGGGTGGTAGTCCACCAGCCCAGCTATTTTAGTAGAGAAATAAACCTGCTTTAAATTCAAAGAAAATATGCTCATTTTCCCAATTCAAACACCAGAAATTTTTCTATCAGCAAATACTGCTTGTTCTAAAAGAGGTCCAGACAGTTATCTTCACTTCTCTGCATTAAAAAAAAAAAAACAAAAACACCAAAAAAAACACCAAAAAAACCCCAAAACCCCCAGCAAAACAGCCCTATACACACTGGGCTGTTTTAAGTACAAGTTTACTTGGAGGGTGACAAATGTTTCATCAACAGTTATCTTTTTGACACTGCATGTAAGATCATACAGCATTCACTGCCAACATTAGGAACACAGCATGTTTTAAAATGCTTAGGTAGATATTGAGAATAAAATCCATGTCACCCAGTATATGGAAAAAAAAAGTTAAATCTCACTGCTGAAAGTTTAAAACTAAAGATCAGGCATCATTATTAAACCATAAAGTTTAATTAAGCTGTAGCTACTTCCACAGTTCATTTCCTTGCTGCTGAAGCATCTGTAACTTGTCAATGGATCCAAGCAAGTGTGTGTTCATATGGAAATTTCTCCCTCTGCTTTCATTATTCAAGAAGCCTCAGGTAAAGAGAGCTGCTGCAATCCACCCTGACACAGAGGCTTTAGAAAGCACTGAGTTTAAAAAAGGTGCATGTTGAGGTTTTACCTGTTTTTACTCTTTGTGATGTAGTATCATAGGAAGGCAACCTAGCCTTGGAAAATCAAGGAACATTTTCTTGCAGTGGCTACTGCCACTGATGGAAAAAAACAACACAAGTTCTTAAGACATATTTGGGTTGTTACAAGCAGTAGTAGAAATTTACTCTACCTGTGCAAAACCAATAACATATTTTACTCTACTTGCCAATATCCAGGGTGCAGAAATTACTTCTTAAAAGACCTGAGGCCAGATGTCCATTTAAAGACATATTTGGCTAAATAGAGGACACGGCCACAAAAACCTAAGCACACTGATCTCTCATGTTCTCCAAGTCTCCTTCATTAACTTTACTCCTATTCTAACTAGAATTTTAAATTGTCTGTTTTCAGAGAACAGGATGTTGTAATTGCCAGTCTGTGCTTCATCCTCTGAACGTGTTCATGGTCTGAACAGAGCATAAACAGCTGTCCATGCAGCTGCCACAGTAAGAATATGATACAGGTACAGGGAGGCAATTTGCACCCTCCTGCTTCCACAGTCCTGAGCTGAGTTCAGCACACCGAGGTCGGCAGATCTGCTCTCACCCAAACACTGAGAAACCAACGCAGATATATAGCAGATATCACTGCTACTCCTTTACTGCAAAAGTTTTACATCAAGTCTAAGTTTCAGACACAGCCGTCTTAGAAAATTTTACCAGTTTTGCCCCAATCACTGCGCACACTTTAAAAGCATATGTTTCACACCCCCTCCCACCCCATTCTTTAACACACTGACAACACATATACTGCATCTGATTTCTAGCCTGCGATACAGAAAGGTTTCTGTGTACTTAAAATGGTATGATCCTCTGATTCTGCACCACTTGGTCTCCAATCTGCTTGATTCTGCAACACCAAAATCCATAGGGACCCTGCCATCAACTGCAATGGCCCAAAAGAAGCACCAGGCAAGTAGAGGGCTCTGAGAAAAGGGCAGATTTCAGAAGCACTGAAAAACCCCAAGTTTGCTCACCTCTAAAAATCTTCATATAGCAGCCTCAAATGTATATATAATACAGGTAATATTTTATCAGAAGAAAGTTCAGCGTCATAGGCATCTACATTAAATATCTGTGCATATACCAGATGATACACTTTGTATACTTACTAGGTAGGTTACAGTCGTTTGGCAGAAATGGTTCAAATGTCCTAGTTCAAAGGAACAGAGATAACACTACTATATAATTATGCATGGGTATACCAATGCTGATGTTTTGCATCTAAAATAAAAATCAACCCTAAGCACCTGACTTAGGTATTAAAACATTCTACATTATTGTTTGCTGCTCAATCTTAACAAAAAACAAACAAGAACCCTTATTGCTTTTGCTCAGAGACTCTCCACAATCTCTATTGTTTTCAAAGCTGCTAACCACCAACAAAATAGCAAAAATTTTCCTAGCTAATAGATATTTTTCTCTGCTAATCCTAATTATGTAGATCCACACAAATACAGTGATTATCACTGCCTTCAACAGAAAAGAAGTTTTAGGAGAATACATGTTAAAAATTACCTGTAATTCTACAAAATAATCAGCTGTGTATTTGGTGGTGTTCTGTGAATTAAAATATTTAGCTGGCTACAAAGTTATAGAACTTTATGGAGAAATTTACTGGGATGTGATCATATTCTGCAGTTAGGTGTTGTTCCATACTCCTACAACTGCAATACATACAAAACAGTTGCAATACAAGATGCAACTATTTTAACAGAAGACTACTTGAATCCACTTTCATACTTTAACTATTGATGATGGAGACTGGAGGAAGACTCCTGGAAAAAAATGCTCCCTTTTTACTCAAATCTCTCATTCAACCTTCCCTCACAGGTTTCTGTGAGCATTCTCACTGAAGAGGAATTGCCTGATGAGTTAAAAAAAATCTGTGATAACAACCACCACCACAAAAATCTAGACAGCTTAGGTGTTTTTTAAACGAAGTCATTTAATTACCCTGCATGAACAGCACACTTCGTCGTATCTCAATCTTATTTTCCTTCAATGTATTTTTCATCCAAGAACACTACTATGGGATCTTTCTTAGCCCAGTTCTTTCAAATGTTCAAGTTCCTTGAAATTCCTTCAATTCAGAGACTGCCAGAGATAAAATTTCACATTACTTGAGTAAATTTTTGCTATCTCACTAAGAGTGCCTTCCAAACTGTGCCTGCTAGACAACTAAAGTGACATTTCTTAATGCTCACTTGATATAACAAAATAAGTGTCTTAAAGTATATCAATTTTTTTCAAGAACTAATCTGAAAGTCTTCATTTTTTGCAGTTGGCATTGAAAATTGTAGTTATTGAACAAACAAGCATTTTACTAATGTGTTTTCAACCCAGACATTAAGTTCAAAGTAACTGAAAATCAAATGGACTAAGCAATAAACTGACTTCATTGATTTTCATTTTCTGTGTTGTGAAATATAAGGAGTAAGCAGAAAACCGAGATTATGAGAAGTATATTAGATTTTAAATATTCTTTTGGCTTTATTCAGCCAGTGGAACGCTGGTGAAAATTTCTGATAGCCATGTATTACAAACAAGGTACTTTAATGTAATCTTCACAGACTTTTTAAGCCTCAGTACCATTAAAGCTGTTTGCTCCCCCCACCCCTCCCCTTAAGTTTTGCTCCTCAATTCATGTTTTTGTTCTTTACTCAGTGTTCTATAAAGCCATAATCACTCAACTCCAGCCCCCCAACCCCCATATTTAAATTTTCCAATTTTATTTTTGACATTTCAACATGAATATCATTTATGTACTTAAAAATAAAACTACAGCACTTCTAGAGAGAAATACTAGCAAATCTTCATGGGACACAAAAGGAGGTGGTCTGGATATTCATAAAAGCTAAATTCAGAAATAGGCTCCCTTCTGAACCACCCCTTGCAGAGCTTGCCCTCTCCCTCAGGGGATGCCTCAGCTCTAAGGGGTGAGGGGAGATTTGTCTGTAGAAGCTTACCTACGTGAAAACTGCTCTTACATCAAACCATCATCATGACATACAGGGAAGTCACCAAGCATGTGAAAACTAGACACAGGAAAGAAAAACTTCGGCCAAAATTATCTCTAGGGATTTCTAGGAACAAAATTTGCAGTTGGCATGTAAATTTGAATTCTAAGAAAATAATACGGCTTATGGATTTAAAAACCTGAGGTTTAACACCCAGATAAAATACATTAATGGTGAACAGAAAAAAAACTGACTATAAAGATGCCTTAAAGATACAGCTTCACTTCTCCAAAGTAACAGATCAGTCTTCTAAAGATCTCAACTAAGAAAAAAATATTTTAGTGCCCTTTATACTGAAGTTGAGCCAAAGCCCACATATCCAATGGTTATCAAGACAGAAGCACAGGAAAAAGATGTACATATAAGAAGATCCATCCTGTAAAAAACCAGATCCACAATATGAAAACTCAGTAAGTCATTTCTATTAGATTAAGGACGATTTTAGTATTGCATCATAACATGCTAAGAAAATATAATAAGGCTAGTTAAACAGGAACATTGATGCTAATTAGAAACAGGATCTTCCAAAAATAAACTGCAACTTTAGTATTTCAGGCATCTTCCAACCATAAGGAAAATCTGAAATGTAATAAAATCATATATAAAAAAAAGAAACTATCACAGGGAGAAGCAAAGTTTGAAAACTCCAATGAAATGAGAAAGTATGTTTAGTTATTTCATGGGTATATGAAGCAGATGAGAGGAAAATGCAGTTAATGGTTAACATAGCAAACAGAAGCACTTTTCTAGCATTTATGTGCATTTTTTAGGACTCTGACTTTCACTTCAGAAAAGCAGCAGTTACAACCATCTTTTATTACTTGCCTTATTTTTCTTAGCAAAGTGTGGAAAGGTCTGAATAGTTCAGACATATCTTCTGGTTTATGGTCCAAGTTTAATGGTCCCTCGGAGTAGACAACAAGGCCACTGCAATTCAAACACATGCATGAATACACACAGAAATGAAAATTCCATTACACAAAGCAACTACTGGATAAGGAGTCAGAAAGGCAATTGTATATAAACACTAGAACTACACTCAAGTTACAAATTATCTTATTTTTGTCTTATTCACCAACAATCAGGATTAAATGCTGTTTAAAGCAATAGGTTAAAAGATTCCCTTTCCCTCTGTCCACTTCACCTTAAACATGGGAGAAAAAGCAGGGAAAGCATAAGGGGAAGAACATTGATTTCATTACTGAGTCTGACCCCAAAAAAATAAACTGGGGCAAGTCCACTGACCTAAGAGATTGCAAATAGCTTTTTCTTTCCAATATACATAACTGCTAGGTAAGATAGTTGACTCCTGAGCGCCTATTTTTCTACCTCTAAGATAAATACCATCTGGTATTAACATGTGGTAAAAAAGAAAACACATTTGCTAAGTCACATAAAACACATTTTGACAACACCATGCTTCTATAAAACTCATCTCTTGTAGAAATTTCCCTGGAAAGAGGTCAATTTATGGTCCTGAAAGCCTCCGTGTACTTCACTGTAGACATCTCAATAGTTCCTCCTGACTGTATCACTACTGCCCAAAACCTGTCTGTGTGTTAGAGATAAAACAAAATTCACTTCTTTCACCCTATTCCGCTGCATCATACCATGCTGTCTGAAAGTGGATGCCACCCACACTAGGCACCACTGTTTAAACCCCTTTACTAGTCTGCCTACTGCAAAAACGACGTGTGCTTCTCAAAGGCAAATGGATCAGGCATTCTCACACTCAAGATAACACCCAGGCCGTTTTTCCCCTCCTGCCCTTACAATCAGTCTTCAGGTATGTTCCCAGTCCCCAAGGTATTTCAAAGGTATCTTCCTTTTCTTACACCCAAGTTACAAGTTGCTTCAGAGAGCTTTCTAGCTACTCTGCATCCAAATCACCCAGAGTAATGGGGACCCTCGGATGACCACCAGAACCATTCATGTCGTTTGCTCACCAGCTGTTCCCTAGCAAGCACCCTGTGTGACCACCGAAGGCTCGCAGACACAGCAGCAAGGCGGATGGCATCAGTTACACGAAATATCACAAAAAGGACCTCTTACACTCTGTTACCATCTGGGAAATACTGCTCCTTCTTCTGTTTACAGACCCAGAGTGTGGCTCCTGCCCTGGCACCAGAATAGTACTGTGCTCTCTCACCACGTTGGAAAACGGCTCTCCAGAAGTTCAGAATTCTCAAGGTAACAAATGTTCCAAGAAATCCTACTCTTAAACTTACCAACACTGCTCTGGGGACTTGGGCTTTTGAGGGCAGGAACAGGGAAAGGGGAGAAGTGGGGAGGGAAGTAAAAGTTGCTCCTTTTACAAGTCACTTCTTTTGGCAGTTTAAGACCAATTATCCTGTTACCAAGGTTACATACTTTCCTTTTTTTCTAATCTTTCTGAGCTTCAACTAGCAGGCTGCCACAAAGCAAAATAGTTACCTATGACTCATGTACTAATGCTCTGCCTAAATAAGTGTTACTTTGCTGAGTGGAAGCTTGAGGCTGCTCTCACCACACTCATAAATGATCCAAAAATCAACATTCCTTTGGCAATTTCCAGGTATAGCTTTCTATAGGGTTTAACTATCAGAAGAATTGGAAAAAAAAAAAGGAAGAGGGCTAGACAACTCCAGAAAAACCAATTATGAAATGGCCTCTGCATATATGACCTTTGAAAGCGTTCTGAATCCAAGCCTGAATATAGTTGTACCATGGAAAGAATTAAAAAATTGGAAGAAAGTGTGTCTTAATATTTCCTACTAGGTTCAAAGTTCACTGGCACCAGTTAACATGCTAGCCAACGTCACCCTGTATACCATGTATGGTAACGTGATGTCTGAATGGAAAGCTTACTCTGAAGAGTAATTTTTGTGTATTACTTGAAGCTGTGCTATCAGTAGACTGAAGGGATCCAGCACTTAATGCTCCAGACTCATCCTTCTCACTAAGACACAGAGCAAGAGCATGGCAACTTTGAGCTGCACCTGTCTTGCATTTAAAGGCTGCTCCTTTCACCATCCAAATAAAAGGCTTGCATCTCTTTCAGACAACACTATGTCTGGATGCTGCTGTTTTTCTGTGGAATTTCACATGGCAGTGATTTATTTTCAAATCACCAGATACTACAGAGCAGTTAAACTTTGTCTTCTCCCTTTATGTTCTTTGTAATTTGGGATTGACATGGTGTATTTTCCAGAGAGCCCCTGTTTTTTCAGTTACTGCATACTTCTTCATTGTGTCTTCCAGCAGCTTCAAACCAAGTTCTCACATTCCCGTTGTCTTTTCATAATCAGATTATTACTGTTACTATTTTTAGTATGACAGTTACGGACAATATCTTATTTAACAGGAACAATGGGCCACAGGGATTTCCTGAGGAGAAGCACATTACACTCGGGATTTGAGGTTTCTTATTTCCCTCAATTATACTACTTATATTAGCTAACTTTAAACCACTCAGAATGGTAAAATATTAAAAAATATGCTGCCTTTACTCCAGAGAAACTGCGGTCTTAAGTCATGAAGACTCATTAGGAAAAAATGCATTCAATATTGCAAAAACTGTATGAAGAAAAAATGTGTTTTAATTTAGTTGTCTTGACTGGTCAATATAAGGCACAAATCTAAATGCAAGTTATTTTCCCTGAAAAAGATTTAAGTTTAACTCCGTGGTCATGATGCAGTTGGTCATGACAATTCCTTTTGAACCTAGAGTCATTAAGAAAAATACACAATTCCTACTGCAAATTTTTAGTTGTCATGACTTGTACCTTTAGGTCATATTATTTTGAGTGACATAAAATATGTGTTTTCAAAAAATATTTGACAATGTGACAGTCTACAGCCTGACGTTCTTAACTTTGTAATTTCTTTCTGGAGGATGACTGATCAATTGTTCCAGGCTCTTGCCTTCTACATTTAGAGTTCTACCTCTCTCCATGTTTTCTTCTTGATATTCTACATGAAACTGGTAATGATTAAAACCAACAACAACAAATAAAAAACTAAGACAAGCCTCCTTTTTTGATTTTTTTTTAAGAAAGTTCAAGCAAACTCAACTGAAAGAAAATCTGCCAGAATTCTGAACAAATTCACTGAAATTTTCAATAAACCTTTAAGTGAGAAAGTGAAGAGTAGTTACAAAAACTACTTACCATACAATGGCTAATCTTGGAATTGTAAACATTAAAGCTGGCTCATAGTCATCTATCATATCTTGAGTGAGGTATCCAAGCCTTAAGGCTCTAAGCAGAAAAATAAAATCATTTAGTAACGCTCGAAGAACACATTTCAAAAGGAAAAACTTTGAAAAAATAGTTCGAAAGCAGACCAAGTTGATAGTATGTACAAAACCAGTTTATGAGTTAAAATCTCAATCGCTATGTATATAACTGACTGCTGTAGTCTCTGCTCGAAAGAATGCTAATACAAGGAAAATAAAATTTTTAAATGCTTAAAGCTTTTATAGCCATCCAACCAAAATAATTTTTATGCCACTTTCCCTTTTTATTTACTATTTCTTGCCAAGCTTCAGCTTGTTACCGAAAATCACCAGCACTTAGCATTTTTCAGCTAAGAGAAACTTTTAAAGTAATAGGGGAAAGCACTTGGTTTCATTTTCAAGTAACACTTACTACAATCTTCTAGGTCAACTCCCCTTAAACTAATTCCCCTTAAACCAAACCCCATAAGCCCACAGTTCAATACAGCCATTATTCTTGAAGTCTAAGGATTTAATATCTGGGGGACACTTCATTGTCCTCTAATAAACTTTATCAGTATCTTAAGCCCCTTTCAGACTAAAGCCCAATTTGTTTGGGCTTTTCACTTGGCTATATTTTCCAAGTTCCTTCACAATTTCTTAATTTCCTCATACGTTTCATAACTTCCTCAAATTTCTTCTACCATGTGTCGGTACCAGCACGTAAGATAACGCTCAAACTGCACACTAGTCCCACTGAGACCTGACAGGTGCTGAAAAAAACAGAATTAACTTTTTGGTATTTATTCCTTGTCAATGCTTATTTTGCCAATACTGCTGGTGGTGAACAAGAACGCAACCACAAAGCAAGCACTGCTTCATACTAATGGTAGAAAAACCCACCATTGTGTGGCCCGCTTTCACCCCCTGTTCTTTTCTACAGTCCACTGCCAGATTATCCAAAGCTGCAAGTGAGAAACCACCTTTTTCCTTTCAAAGGCAAATATGTGCATATGTAGTAGCTCTCCAACTGATGGAAGAGAATTCCTCCTGCTTGTTGTGACCATTTTGAGTCATAATCCTGTCCTTTAAAGCACTTGAAACACCTCTGATCATGGTGGTTTCTATGAGTTGTGGCAGTGTTCTCTGTGCTCCTTCATTCCTCAAATGAAAGTATCAACCCCAGCAGACTCACGTCCTACTTCACAAGTTGTCCTAATATGACAGTAAAACCAAGACTTATTCCAAGTGCGTTTTACAGACAATTGGTCTTTTAATTTTACCCAGACCACACTTCATTAGTTTTCTTTTGAGAACAATGTTGCAATGCTCAGAACTTCACTAAAATTGGGTACTTCACATGCTGTTCCCCTCTACTGCCCACCTGCCTGGCTAGTTACTCTGTCACAGGGAAAAACAAAAACACAAAAGAAAGTTGTTCAACACAGTACATACCAAACAAGTTCATAATTTTATTTTCACCTTATACTCCTGAGATTATAAATTGCTAGATGGTTGGATTTGGCTGGGGTTTGTTTGTTTGTTAGGTGGTGGTGGTGTTTTTTTTAATCACCTCTTCATACATACAGGGTCAAGCTTAAGATTTTAAGGAGTCTTTACAAGTTCTTTATGATAATCACTAGATGATTCGGAACATCTCCCCATGTATTCTTGCATGAAATATCATTAAGTTTTGATGCCTTAAATGGATTAAGCTCCTGTAAATACTTAGTCTTCATTTGCACATCTATACCTAAGCATACCAACACCACTGTTATTCCTGTATTATTAACTTATAGGTTTGGTTTTTTTTTTTGGTCTAGAAGCCAAAAAAGCATAGGCTTGTGCCTAGCAAGCATGCTTAATGCTTTTTAACTTTGTACTTGGATACTTACTAGAAAAGCAAAATACCTGGTGTTTTACAATGCTTCTTAAAGACTACAGTTAAAGTACTTCTACAAAAGCTCAGACAAAGTAAACACAGAAATGAAAAGCCAGTACTTAACTGAAATGCTTACCTCTCCACAGTTTCACAGAAAAGTACTATTACCTCTTGCTGTACATAATACTCTTTTGGAGACTTCACTGGTACCATGGCTGACACATAACTACAAAGATAATAAAATAGTATGCTATTATATTTCATGATTTAACACATCAGATTATAAAGAAAAATAAGCTTAGGACCAATCATCTCAGAAACATAACCTTTCCTATACCTTTCTGTATTTATTTTGACAGCAATCCCTATGAAAATTGTACAGTGTAAAAATCTACAAGAAATGCAGCTGATTTAGCTATTGCAGATTTACCACTGAGTTCCACTGCCTCATTTACAAGTATAATTACATACATTTAGCAATCGGAACTCCACACTGTGTGGCACAGGGAGGTAGGTCCTAGAAGGATATTTATTGCTGCATCTTGAATATAAAGAAATGCAGAGAAAAATAGTCTAAGAAAACAAAACAAACTTGACTAAAATGCACATTTTATCTAGAAAGGTTTTACCTGAAGTTGTAACAGGGAAATTCAGTTAGCCAGCAGAGACAATTTAAGAGACTTAGGAGTTGGTCTTGTTTCTATGTGGAATTACATGTAAAAGCAGTAGTTCAAAAGGCAAGAAACACTAGAAGAAGTGGTTACTTGTCATCTTATTACTTAGTAAGTCATTTGTGGACTACAGGTAACACAGGAAGGGAAAAAGTTGTTTGCAAAACAAAGGCAAAGAAAAACGCTATACGTCAGGTTGGTATGGAGAAGCCACAAACTGTGCACAGGCACTGCCAAGAACCAGTTACTGATTGCCATCGGTGCCTGCACTCAGAGCCACACTTCAAAACACATTTTCAGTCAAGGTTTTCAATGCAACAGTATAATGATTATTTCTTTGAATCAGAAAAAATTGCTCATCTGAGTATAATACAGAGAATATTAATACTGAGGAAGGGCAAACAGTAATGGGAGACAAACCCATCTACGGATTATTCCCAAGAAATATTTCAAACACTATCCACTTCTAAGAAAACTGTGCTGCTGAAGGTAGAGACGGCTGTATTATATTAAATACATAGATCATGTTGTGCAGCATCCTGTCTGCAACTAGGCCCAGCACCATAAACATCTAACAGACACACAGGAAACTGGCTTAAATTCTGAGGCACAATGCAAGACTTGGTCAGTGTGACCTTTGATGCAATAGGCAGTTACTTTTCTCATCCCCAAATCAGTTATTTTTATTTTTGCTATAAAACTCCATGCCATTTTTCAATCACATTTTTAAATCAGTGAGTTCCTATGGTTAATTATGGCTTATGTAAAAGCACTTTCTTCATCAGATTTCAATGTGCCTTCTTAAGCTCATTGGGTGCATCTTGCTTCTATCTCTAAGCACAAGAGAACAAAACCCCATCATCTCTAGACACCAAAAAAAAAAGATAAATAATATCTCTTATTTGTTGCCTTTTCTCTGACAAAGAAAACATTAAGGAAAGATTTATGGCTTCCCTTTGTGCCTTGGAAAACCTCCCACAAATGCCATATGCCGGTATGCAAATGGAAGATTATAGTTTAGTTGACAAGAGCAAATGTTGATTTCAAAACGCTCTTTAATTTTCTTTTTGTTATTGCTACACTGGAAGGAAAGATCTAACAACACAACAAATCACTGAAGAATTCAAATACCATGATAAAAAAATTACATACTTTTCCCATAACACGAAACCAGAACAAAACAGCCAACTTCCAAAATGCAACAAAGCACACAACAGCTGTAACAGCCAAGCCAATGCTCACAATGCATTTGCTTCGGATCTTTTACCTTAATTCAAATTCAGCAAAAAGGACATCAAAATGCTTGAGTGAATCTTTCATTTTTTCTGTGTAGAGGTTCAAATCCCTTAAGGCCTGGTCACGAATTATATTTCTGACTTCCTCTAGGCTTCGGGTCAGATCCTTGGCCAATGGCTTCATAGCCATACTCTCAATTTCACGATTCATAATTATTGAACCAGCAGCCAAACACTATGAAATACATTGAGAGAAAATATTAATTTTTACAAAGTCAGTTTCATGTTTAAGAAAAGCACAAGATGCAATATTTAATACTGTGAACACAGGCGGTGCTTAGCCCCAATCTGTTGTAAATCACTGAACAAGTGAAAGATTTAAGACTGATGCACGGAGAGTCATAAGCCTTCTCATAAAAATTTAGGGAGCAGCTCAGTCAAGGAAACATGAGAACACGGGGGAGGTTCAATTGTAAGAACCACAGAGCTGACAGGATAACTTAAAGCTCTTCTCACACTAGTTAGGCAATACTCATTGGTAGGATATATACTCTAAATACATAAGCAAGGACTGCTTCCATAAAAGCTATGTGAATCCAGCTAGAGTAAGATCGATGGAGTGTTTTGATGAAGGCTGGACTGCTTAATTTTGTAAAATAAATTATTCCTTACAAAAAGAACAGAAATTCTGCAACCGTGGTACCGTTTGCAGAAAAACTGGTCACTGACTATCAGACCAGGGATCCAGCTAGACCAGTATCCTGCCTCCCACAGAAGATATGAATATAATTTATAGGAAAGAACATAAAAACCAGGTCACACAGTGATTCTTCCCTTTCAGTTTCTGTAAAGCAGCTATTTAAGAGACGCTTTGCCTCGAGTTATACAAGGATTCCCTCTGACCAGCTCACGGAGACATTAGAAGTATTTTTTTTACTATAACACGTTAATAAAACTTTTTAAAGATCTCACTACTAAAACCAGGATACTTAGTAATCCTTTATGGATACATTTGAAGACAAGCACTAATAAATCATACTTGCTGTATTAGTAGAAATATTTTCATTCACTAAAAATATACAAAGATGTTCTAGTCTCAAAGGTGGTTTTTTTTTTTTTTTTTTAAATCTCCATTTGCAACTCTGTGTCCCTCCCTCTCCCCTGCACTCCCCTGGATGGGAAGCATTTCTGCAGCTCCTGTATGGGGGACCTGCAATCCCAGCCCTTGCTGAGCAGCCTCATGCACTAATTTGTATTTTAAGGGCACTCAGAAGAGCATGTGCTTACCTCTTATCAGCCAAAGCAGTATGTGTGGGAAAGGACAGATAGGGGAAGTCTTACCTGTTGGAAGGTACTCTTAGTCTGCTAACTCAGAGCAACTGCACTTACAAGAACACACAAGTGCATATATTCATAACAGTCCATACGGTCTTCCTTACTACAGGAATTTACAGGACAGTGCGTACAGAAGCCTGAATTAGCATTATTCACCACTGCACATGTTACTTGATCTGAAACTAAAAGGTCTCTCCAGCCTGTTGGTGTGATTTGGAGACAGCAAAAGTTTGATTTGAAAAGAGTATAAACACTGTCTTAAGTAACACAAACAGTGAATAAAGGGAGACTGGCTGTTTCTCCTAAAAAGTTACTGGATGTCTCAGTGATACTGTCAACCATTTTCCACAATACAAGGAGAAGTTCCTACATTGCCTGGCATTTTACCTGTCCGTTGCTGTAATCCCAGTTCATTAGTCCCTAACAGTAAGAAAGGATAACAAGATTTACAGCGATGCATTATGGATGGCTACAGAAATAATTACCCCATCCTCTCCTACCTAACTACCAAGGCAGCCGCATCATATCCGACTCCCAGCATTTTACAACAGAGCATGGTGTCACCTGGATGACAGCAGCAAAGATGACACAGTAACAAGCAGAAAAACTGCTGGTTTTGCCAAGGACAGGATTATAAAGCATGGACAGATTGAATAAATTTTGTAAATTCTGCCTGGGACTTGCCCAACTCAGAGGAGTCTGCAACTAGCAACCGCCAAGGCAGTTTCAGACATGGAACACAGAGTCATATTGGACTGAACAACACAGGAACGACTGGCAGAGAGCATGCACTTTAAAAAGAAAACAGGAGCTGGTAGAGAAAAGAACAGGTCACAACAGGAGCAGAAAGATTGCTTCAAATATGGCAGAGGCAAAGCTAAAAACAACCACCCATCATGTTGCTGTGGGGTAGGATGTCTAGACTATTCTCCCTCCCAACGGTCAATAAATGCATAGTGCTTAAAGTGACCTGCAGGCCAACAGACCTGAAAACATTCAGTTTATCGTTACATATGCCACAATGATTTACTTTTTTTTAAACCAACAGATATCAGTATTCCTGATTAAGTATCTTAAACACCACAACTTTTTCTGACACTTTAGGCTTCCCTTGGTTGAAATAATTAAAGCTTATTCACTACGAAAATCCATTGTTCCTACAGGTTGCTGAAGAAGCAGGTCTTAGAGATGAACCAGAAAAGAGAAATGAACTTCAGTGATTTGCACAGAAACCACTGTATTTTTAGCACACACGAACAAGTGAGTTAAGTATAACAAATGTCAGCTCAGCAAAGTTACATACGTTTAATATGAGTTACAGCATAGCCATTAAAATAAAGTGACACCATACACTTACATTTGTTGGAAATAAACTTTCATCTTCTAATTCCCTTATTTATCTTTGTTTTTAAGAGTTTCAAAGCATGAGATTTGAGGTGGCTCATCAGGATAAAAACCAAAAAACAAATCAAGAAAAATCAATCAGATGCTAGTTCACATAAAAATAGTTTTTAAAAGGCCATCATAGTGACAGCAGACAACTGTGAAAATAAATCTGTGTACTGTTAACCCAATCACCACCAAAACCATAGCAAAAGAATTCCCTTCCACTGAGCATCCAGAGCAAGTCCTCAAAGATGTTTACCTGGCTCTGCAATTGTATGTACCCTTTTCAGCAAAATCTCAAGATGTACTTTAAGCTTCGGGCTTTATGCCACCAAAAAAACTGTCCCTTAACCCCAGGTAACAGACACATGAGACTTACTTCTGCTCCAAACCAAAGCTGTCCTGCAAGGTTGTCATGGCGTATTTCCTCTGGAAACTTAACACAGAAGTCTCGGTTGGCCCGTTCGTGTGGAATGCATTCATCCATGATTTGATTTATGATGTTCAAAACATTATCCTGAAGCAAAATATAGGAGAGCATATATACTGTTCTCACAGATATACCATGAAATTTTAAACTTTTAACATTATTTATTAGTGAGGCACCAACTAATTAAGTAACATGGAAAACATGCAATATTTAACTCTTCTGATCATCGCACCCACAGAGAGAACAAAGAGGAGAATATTGCATAGAAAGAAGGGTGGCAAACTTCACTTTTTCTGGTTTTCATGGAGACAGTTTCTCAGATTTGCTGCACTCAGCACTGAGTACTTTAGTGGGACTTCTGATGAGGAGGCAATATCTTAAGAGCTTGTTTCCTCTGGCTATCTATCTGTGAAATATCAGTAAATGAAGCACAAGTAAATTAGACTTCTCCCACTCCCGTTTCTTCTCACCAGCCCAAATATGTATTTCTTCCTTCCCAAAAAAGAAGGCCTGACAGAGTACCCTGGAGGCATTAGAAACAGTTATATTAGGACCAGAGCTGAATAGACTTCATCTCATCCTGGGAATCTCAAGCAGGTGATTTCCATAGAAGTCCACAGCAGGAAAGGGTTGGCATGCATACCTGCCTGCCATCTCATCCCCTAGGCCATCCCAGAGGATAAGGGGACACTGCACAAGTTAGAGAGTCTTAATAACTGCTCTGATCTATGTCTGCACCAGGACAAAGATCAAAGACCTCTAACCAGCTTCTTGATATGCAGCAAATAATCTGTATTCATTTATTTGAAAAGATAATTTTCACATGGCCCTGCTGGGAACTGTGTGGAATTTGATTAACATAATAAAGGTAGATTCAGAACATGGAAAAGGCTGACTGCTTTCATCAAAGATGTTTTGTCTGTCTCCGGGTTCTTCCACTATTTACAGAGTTCATGTTCTCTTTAAAATGCTTTTTCAAACAAACAAAACTAAACCTGTCTTTATAGAAGTGTTCACCAGACAGGATTGCTTTAAGTCTATAATTCACTGTTTTAATTTCCTCTGCACTTAAAAAAATAATAGGAGACAGGATTTTTGAAGAAACCTGCCCCTTTTGTATGTCCCCCACTGAGAAAGACAAAACCTTCTTCAGGTACAAAAAAACCCCTTCACATCTTCTGTAATTTCAGTGGAGACTGCTGTAGCCAAAAAATAATCTTAACATTCATGCCGTAATCACAGTTGACTTCATGCAAAATATGTAAATAAACTAACAATTGGCAATATTTATGACACACTGGTATAAGGTACTTTGTGTTAATAGTTGAAACATTTTTACATCAATGTATTATTTTGCAATGTAACAAATTTCATTTTAATAAAGTTGTTGAAAACAAAGTCCCAAACACTTAGCGCACATTGGCACACATAATATTCATCCAACCTCTCTAGAAACAAATCTGAAAACCAAATGCTCCATAGTTCTTCCAAGGGCTGACATCACATGGATGGACAGATGATGACAGCACATACAAGAGGCAAGAAAAAGCTACATTCACCAATGTATAAAATTTTAGAGACTCTGCTGGATATAACAAACTGCAAGGATGGGTGTGCAGCTTGGGTCCCCAGGTATCCAATGAGATGCCCACTGTAGAAATTGAGGGAGAAACCAACCTCAATATTCCCATGTGTAAATGCAAGGAAAATTTAAGTTCAAATCATAGAAGACAACTAAACAGAGCAAAGATTCCAAAGCCCTCTGTCAGCACCACCATCCTCAACCTCTGGCTGAAGAACAAGCCAGACTTCCACCACCTCCTCTCTCCAAGGTAGAATGGATAGTCAAGGAATCATGTCCAAATTTGTATGATGCTTTAGGGGTGAGAAAAAAGCAGACTAATAGCAAGTTTCCTATTTTCCTTCCTTCCATTTCTTAATTCCCAGTAATGAGAACACTTCTCATGATTATTTAGCTAGACCTAGCTGAGGAACCCAAATATTTCAAAAGTAGGTCCCATAAGGAAATAAAACTCCTAAACCACTTAGTTCCCATCCAAAGTTACAGAGCAAAGAAGGAAACTGAGGATTAAAGCATTTAAATTGTAGGGCCCAAGTCACTGATAACATATTTTTAATGAGTTGTTAGTGATCTATTTTGAGACCAGATGCTTTGCCTGTAGCTCCCACTTGACCACCAGAGCAATACAGGCTGGCACATTAGGATGAAAAAGCCAGATTCCTGTCTTCAGGAAATTAATAAAAGTTTGTAAAGATCTTCAAGCATTAGAGAGATACAGTGCTAAAAAGTAACCCTACTAGTTAAATCTTACAAAAGCTGCAGGAAACACAAAGAAATACTAAGGCAGGGAACTCTGAAAAGAATTATATTCGAAACCCAATTACATTTTACTGTAGGAAATGATATTCCAATTTATTTGACTTGCCACCAAACTTGAATATGGAAAAACACGATTTTCAATCTCTGGCTTTTTTGATTTTTTTTCTAAAAAGCTATACAGAATAGGATAAGACCCATATTGAAAAGCTTTCCTTTTTTTTATTTACTTTATGCGTTCTTTTTCAAATGTGATCTTATTTTACATCAGTGACAAGACAGATTGAATTCCATTCCCCGTTTATAATCACCTTCATACATACTCAAACTCCTGATATATCAAAAGAACGTTTTAAGCAAACAGAATAAAGCAACAGGACTCCCACCTGGCCATGCAACTGTTAAGTGTTTTTGTTCTGGTTTTGTAATCGTTATACTTGTAAAAAAGTACTGAGATACTGTCTAAACAATATCAGGAGATAATTATTAGGCATCATGAAATACTGTACCTTAATGCACTTAAATACTGGATATAAAAGAATTTAACTTTTTACAATGCAAGTGTAATATTAATTTTCCTATGTAATTTTTTTACCATCTAAATTACATTTAATATTCTTCCTTATTTCTTCAGTATTCCTATAATCTCCAGATGCTTCTGCTCCAGGGCACCCAAGATCTGTCAACACAACTCCACATGTGCCAAACTTCCTGAATCAGTTTTAAAAAAAGTTACTAGTACTGCACAAGTTACAAATAAGCTAAAATGTAGTTAATTAGAATTCTAATATATATTCCCAATGGAGATAAAGCTCAGCCTCCGGACTAGTAGCAGGTTTTGTAAAGTTTTTGTATGCCTTCACATAGACAGCTGGTCATTCTGCCAAAAAGCTAAGTGGAAAAGTCAATTAAAAAGCTGAGCATCTTTTCTTGCACACCCAAGTGGTGATACTGGAAGGTTAAGGAAAGAATAGTCAATGGAACTTTGCCATTTAGTGTATAAATGCCAAAAGATTTCTACAGTATCAATTGTTTTTGCTGTTTCAGGATGTGCAGTTTCCGAAATTCTCTGATTTTCTACAGTGTTTATTTTAACCTACTACAGAAAAAAACAAACAAAAAACCCCCACACAACAACAAACCAAACACAAACCAAACAATTCCCCATAATTTTCCTTACCTCTTCCATTCCCCCTTCTTATGACACACAGAGTAACCTAAATAGGAAATGTGGAATACTTGCTCCCATAATGATTTCAAATTTCAGCTGCTCCAAAACTGGAAGGATGCCAGCCAATTTAGACAGGCTATCCAATGCATTGTAAGCAAATTAGTCTTTCCTTTAAAAGAGCTTCAAGAAACATTCAATTTAGTTAATTACAGTATTCTGCTTTGTAAGCTAAGAACGAATGGGTTTGGATACATGGTAGCATTGAGGTTTTGCTCTAATTTAAGCAACAGAAATCAATTAGATGAAATTGAAGTAGTAAATCTTGCACTTGATCCATCTTTCTACATAAAAGCCTCTGGATTTTAATGTATCCTTTGGTGGCTTAATCTGTTCTCTTTTGGTTCATTTGCATACCAGGATGATCACAGTGTTGTTTCAGCTGCTCTGTTTAGGCCTTCCAGATGCACAAAAGGCAGCCGCTGCAGAGATTCTGCTTTGGGATTTACTCCAAGTTCCTCATTTCCTGGAAAACAGAGCTCAATGTTTCATTTAACAAAGAGCACTTACGTTTTATTTTGATAGGTAAGATAATGAGTGGTAGTCAGACAACATACGTAGCTAGCCACAGTAGAGAACAAAAAGTTGGTTTATTTTTGGCCCAGCAGTAATTGCCGATATATTCCATAATCAGAACATCATGCTAACAGTGACTGCTGCATTAGCTTTCTGAAAATGTACAAAAAGAAAAGCTAGTCACTTCACCATACTCGCAATCTAAAACATATGTTTAGGTCAACAAAAGGCAGACTTATCTACCCTTTTGTACATGTCCTTGATACAAGTGTATGCTGCTTTTCCATGCTGTTAAATTTAACATGACCTTCTTAAGGTCTTCTACAAGATTTCTTCAGAGCAAGATAATTTCTTATGTTGTCCAGTACCTCTTCAATATCTATTTTTTGAATTATCAGTAAAATGTAGCCAAAGTACAGCAGCCTCTGATGATATCACCATCGGCTTCATAGATGGCATTTCAGCCTCTATGTTTAAATATATCTTTCACATCTTTCATTTCTTTTTCTGGCTTGATGTTCTGCTGCAGACCTCCTTCAACATCACATTTATGACATACACAAGCAACTGATGAACACAAATTAAGGTCAAACATAAAGGAAGATTTTGTTGTAATTAAAGCAATTAGTTAGTAGTGAGGTTTGAGGTTTTTATGGGTTACTTCATTAACAGAAGACATCATTAATAAGGTGATGTATTCTGATGTAAGTAACAGGACACCCAAAAGTCCCGGCTTCATGACCCAGCAGGGTCTGTACAGACATGTGTTTCACCCATTCAAGACCTAAAGTCTCTCTCCAGACAGCAAGCTTCCCTTGCACAGATCCTCAAGGTCATGCTTTCAGTCTCTTTTTGGCCTGATCAGCTATTTGACTATTCCCCACTGTCAACTTCTACAGGCTCCACTTTCTAAAAGTAACTTTCTAAAGATTCTTCTGTGTATGACCTTTGGGCAGCAGCTCCTACCAGCCTGCTATAGGGCACTACCAAAATTCATCATGAATA